ATATTATTTAATAAATATATTAAATTAATTAGAAATTTTCTAAGTTACTCATTAACATAACAATACTAATAAGATTTTTAAATCAGAGTTTTTATCTCTAATATTTCAAAACTGTTAAAAAATATGTATTTTTAGAACAAGAAAAATAAGAAATGCCACATTTCTTACAAACAAAATATTTATCTTAAGAAAATATATCATATTTGATTAAAAAAAAAGTATATTATTTTAAGATATTTAATTTTCATACAATATAAAGAGTGAATTTTTTTTTAAAAGGTTTTTTTTTTAAAAAGAGTGATGAAAAACATATTTTTGTGATAAATAAATTATTAAATTCTTTGAAAAGCTTTTATTTATTTATGTCATATAATAAGAATGACATGTTATCCACGTCACCTCATTTAAGTCATGTAACCAAAAAAAAAAGTACAGAGTTGACTGATTTAAAAGGTAAAAAGTTACTAATTGCTGTAATGAATAGATTTTTCAAAATACAATGCTCTAATAAAAAAAGTAATTTAAAAACCCCACCCACGCTCTCTCTCTCTCTCTCTCTCTCTACTTTCTTTCTCTAGGATTTTTCTCTCTAGACTTTTTTGAGTTTTTTGGGTTTTTTGCTTTCATGGCTGGTGTTCTTCCTTTTGTGGGGGAATCCTCACATAGGAAGACAAAGAAAAATCGTTCTAGAAGCAACCGTATGAAGAATCGAATGAAAAACCGCATGCCAAATCTCTGTTGGATGGCTATGTTGAATGGATATAACTTTCGTTCCAAGAGGATGGTTCGAAGGAAGGTTACGGTGGACAAGCAAAAACTGCTTGTGATTCTAAAGAATCGTCTCATCTAATCAAGACCTCGTTTTGTGTTTAGTGATGAGGAGCTCTTAAAGGTTAGTCATAATCTCCCCCCAACCCTTTAGAGTATAATGGTTTTAATGCAGGTAAGTATGGCTATAATGAGGATGAAAGAAGCAGAGATGATGATGGTCCCCTGGAAATTCCCTCGATCATTATGAACATGAGGAAAGTTGCTCGTGAGAATGATGATATAGAAAAATAAGACATGAAGAGGAGATGATACGTGAAAGTAAAACTGCTCAAGAACCGAATCTAGATGTTGTTGGGTAATCAAAACTATGAAAAACAGAACAAAGTTTACACAAATATAACAAACTTTATTTCCATGTAAAAGACATCATTTTCCAGAAAAATACATCAACCAAACAAAGAACAATGATCATACATAAATAGATAACGAAAGAATACGACAGTTTGGACCAAGTGTAACACCCCCAAACTCACATTGCATATAACACACATTTCATTCTCAGAATACATGTTTAAGCCCACAAAAGTCTAAAGTACAAGAAGCTATAATACAAATACACAATTCAAAAATTCTAAAATATATGCTCTTGTACTACTTATCATCTAATATCAAAATACATTCATCGATCTTCATAAGGCTAAGCATATAGAGAGATAATTCACAATTTTCCTTTTCCATTACTATCATTATATTCTGCATTTCCTGCAACACATGTTTAAAAACACAAAATGTGAGTTAGACCTAAAGGTCTAGTGAGATCCCTTTTTCCATGTAGTTGTAGGGTGAATATCACCAAACATTATTCAAATAAAATCATTTCACATAATGAAGTATAAATCCACACTATGTTTATGTCCATCGGGCCTCTGGTTCCAAAGACCAGACTTAGAAAATATTTTAGCAAACAAGAGGACCAGAGTTCCTCTGGTTCCTCTACCCGAGCTTCTGGTTAAACCAACCAGAGCCTCTTACTTAAGTAAAATTCTCAAAACGTTCATAGATCAACATCATAGATAATAGAATAGCTTTCCCAAGTCTAAAAACATATTTTTAAAAGGATATTGAATGATCAGAGCTCTAGTTCTACTAGCCAGAGCTTTTGGCTCAAAATGCAAGACCAACCAGAACTTCTAGTTCAACCTGCGTAGGTCAACCAGAACCCCTCTGGTCTGTCTTTCTTGTAAGAAAAACTTCTAAGTATAAAACCTTTTTGAATTTTTTTTAAAGTACAATTTTGACACAGAGCTCTTATCTATAGATACAGAGCCTCTAGTTTAACTAAAACTTTAGTAAAAAGACTTGTATAAATCTCAAGTCATCACCTAGAACCCTCTGGTTCAACTATGAGGACCATCTAGATCCCATCTGGTTCCTTTCAGGGAACAACCAGAGCCTCTCTAATTTCTCTTAAATCAAACACTTGTTCCAAAACAGAGTTTATCCAAAACCATTGGCCATAGGCCAAGTTTTCCCCTTTTCAATAACATCAGTATTATCATTTCTAATAAGAGCAATATCTCTGAGTCCTCAAATCACAAAGAAGTAAGACTCAAATCTCTTGCAATCTTAAAAGACATAATAGTAAGAGCTATAATATCCACACACAATTGTCACCCTTATATCCAAAGGTACACATCTCCTTGATATGTCACCCTTATCCCATGGTACAGCTCTCCTTGATATATCACTCTTATTTCCTCATCAAAATCTATGGATTAGTTCCAAACGAAGACAGATCGAAGTCACAACCGTCTTGATGAAACAGCCTCCATAGTTTTATCCACAAAATCTATAGATTAATTCCAAACGAAGATAGACTGAAGTCACAACTGTCTTGAAGGGATGTCTCTATAGTTTTAAACCAATAATGGTTTCAAAACAGTTTTATTATCAAAACTTTTGAAACTCAAGAACAATCAGTTCTTTCAATAATTTTCCAGAACACCAAATCTCCTTTTTAAATCCTCTAAACAGGATATCATTCCAACTGTTTTAAAGAAGCAAACTCTTCATTATCTTTCCAAAACAGTTTCCAATAATCAAATTCATAATAATATTATCTTAAACTGTTAAAAATAGTTTTACCATCCTTTCTTCAAAATCAAACATCAAAAACCCAACAGTTTGTATAACAACATATATAAAGGTTTTAGTTATCAAAACTCACCTTATCAAGCACAAATTTGCAGGTTCAACACACAGCAACTCGTTTCAAAGGAACACAAATTCTTCAAATCACTTTTGTGCAATAATCTTTCTCAAGAACACTTCCACTGCCACACACACACACATTTTCTTTTCTCTCAAAGGGTTTCTTTCCCAAAATAAAGATAAGATAAGATCTTATCTTTTTACCTTCTTTATATATACTTTTAACAAAGGCGGTGGTGGGTTTTATTAAAATAAAACTCTTTGGGCGGTGGAAACTTTATTATAAAATTTCATTTCTTAACTACGAAGATATCATATCTTTTTATTTTAACATTAACATCTCATGTATGTTTCTCACCATATACATACACATATATTTCATGTATGCACAATAACACCTTCTTCGCATACTTTCCATGCATTTAATTATATAGCATGCATGTCATCACGTATTTCACATATAATCACATAATAGGTTACCTCGACCGACGTTGTCTAAAAC